CTTCTGTATTGATCAACTGGATATTCAAAATATTAAAATATATAATTTACTATGCAAATAAATTGTAAATGTTTACAATTATGTTAAGTTTTCAAGATTTCTATTTATTTTTTAAATTGGGAGCTTTATAGAAGTGTTTACATGCCTGACCGCTGGGTTCAATCCCCAGATAAGAAAAAATAATATAATACTGTCATTTTAAATACACCTGAGAATAACCATATACATTCTATATGTGAAATGATATGCTAAACTATGATGAAAGTGAATGTGGCTAATTGATTACCAATGAAGTATTGTGAAAAGCTCTTAAACATGAATATACTGGAATAAATTTGTCATCATAAATTGTACAATTAACATAGAAAATACACAGACATGCACTGTATGTTAAATAAATTGTTTAAACTGTGTGTAATTCTTAAAATTGCCTTCTGAACCAAGTAATCAGAGAAACAGAACATATAAAATCTATGTAATACAGATACTTGTATTTCCCATTAAGATGAAAATATAAATAAGAAAATGTAAGAAAAAATAAAACACTATATGAAGTGATTATTTCAAAATCAAATTTAAGAATATTTACATCTACCATGTAATGATAGTTTCATTGAAGTCATTTCCAAATCACTTTCTGTTTAGAAAAAATTTTTGCACAAATTAAGAAATGTGTATATTAAAAATTTCTGGGGGCTGGTGAGATGGCTCAGTGGTCTAAAGCACCTACTTAGAACAAGCTTAGCAAAGCACAGGGACCGCGGTTCAATCCCCCAGCACCACATGCCAGCCAGCCCTGCCCCCTGGTGGGCTGAGCTGGCCACACACACACACACACACACACACAAATAAATAAATAAATAATTTTTAAAAAAAAAATTTCTGTATTATATTTGATGGAAAAGAATTCCAAATATATATAAAGCCAATATGTGAAAAGAAGTATTACAGAAATAAACTGAGAAGGCAGTAAAAATGGATTCTTTACCTCTCCAGAAGAAATGAAACTCAAACTATCATAGGTCTTAGGTGAGATAAAGACTCTGAAAATAAGTATCAAGCGCTATATACAAAAAAATTACATGATAACAAATATCAACAAGCAGTAGTATAATTTTACCCTTTTCAAAAAGAAAATCCAGTACTTAACTACCATGTAATTCTTCTAAAGTACCATCAAATATGTAAGTCCTCTGAAAAACTTGTATTTCACAAAAGCTGTCAGTTACCTTTCCTAGCCAATTTAAGTATGTTCTCCTACAATGTAACCATGGATTCAATTTTTAAAGTTATTCATACAAGGAAACTGATACAACTATTATTAGTACTTAGAATATTGTACCCTACTGATGAAATCATTTTAGTAACATATATTAACCACATATATATTCTTTATTTCATTTGAAACAACTGATTGTGGTTTACACCGGATTATGAGGAAATTCCTTTAAAAAATTCTTATTTTGCAAAATGAATCATAAAACATTTCAAATTCAGTTATGTATTCTAAAGAAGATTTCAAAAAATAGTATTATGACAAAATTTACAAATATAGTATAATTTTGTGAAATTTTTAAAAACAAAGTGTTCATATTGAATTCTATCAATGTTTCATTATTAACATGGGTGAGAATATGCACATTTATTTCCTAACTATAAAAATCATTTAAATCACACGCTAACATTAGAAGTTCTAAGAGATTGTCATTTTAAACCACCCATGGCCACATACTATCCTCCAACAGCTGACTCTCACTACATTCATCAACATGTCTAAAGACAGGAAGAGCACAGCACACACACACACACACACACACACACACACACTTCAACTTTAGGATTTAGAGATATCAAAACTAGAGGAAACGCTGATAATATTAGTGTCAACAAATTTTTACACAGTATTATGCAATAATAAATCTACACTTCTATTAAAATGTACATACCCTCTTTATTATATAACAGTGGAATTGTTTTGAGATATGCAATTCTTTGGAGTCAGTATTTTACAAGAGAAATATTCTGTGTATACTCTCATGAATTTTTAAATATTTCATAGAAACTAAGAAAACTTCTTTATATTTCCTGAAATACATACTAAAAAAGTGTGTTATGGCACATTTCTTACCACATACACAAAAAAACTATCATATATTTAAAATAATCTGCATAAACATCAGTCCAGCAGAACATTTAAATTTTCCTATTTTTTTGTTATCTATGATACATATTCTTATATAAAAAAATAGTATATAGACATAGTGGGAAAAATCTAGCTTATACATAAAATCTGATATGTTCAAAAATGCTCATATAGTTAAAAACATAGCTAAAATAAAATATATTTTAAATTTTATAAAATGGTGCTTAATTGCAATCTAGCCCTATAAAAATGTTCACATGATACCTAAACAGACCATTTACAATGGTCTAATTATTACTTATAGCTGCCTGCTAAAATCAATAGGATTTTTAGTCAGAATAATTATTCATATAATTTTTGTTATTTATGGAAATCTCTTAAGAGAAACTCCTTCAATGACACATTTAATTCTGTTCTTTTTTTAAATACAAATGTATAAAAGACTAATGATAGCCAAACATTTAAAAACAAATCAATGCTTATAATCTAGAAACTGCTTGCTATATATATATAAATATATATATATATATATATATACATGTATAAGCTTTACCAGCAATATAGTACTGCTTTTAATTCAATAGATATAGGAGTGTTTATCCACATATAACCATTAAATTAAATTTGGATGTCTCATGGGTCTATACAATAATACTTGTTAATAAAATGTCTAATATTTGAGTATTTTTTTGAAAAAACAAGTTATAACTAGGTAGGATCAGACAAAAGAAAAGCGCTATTTTTTCATTCATCTATAAAACAAATTTATGAGGTCGTAAAGAACAATTTAACAGCCTAGAGAAGGTTCAAAGAGGGAAGTAAAAGCCTAAAAGAAAATAGATTTATCAATGATTTTTAGGCAGTCTATGGAGGTTAAGAGGAAAAAAGCAGGTTCATTTTGTAATATCAATAGGAGGCATAAAATTCAGTAGCTTCTGTGTAGAATCCTATTTACACACTTCAACCCTGTTTCAGACAATGCAGATCCTTCTACATGTAAACACCCAATAATGATGACCAGGACTTTAGGAAAATATATGCCACACAACAAGGTCAAGAAGCTACTAAGCACTAGAAGACAACCGATCAAAACAGAATGGTTTCATATGTTCTATTGTTTATACATGTATTTGAAGATGGTATTTCTGGAGAAAGAGGGGTTGCTGTAAATATTACCAGGGACATACAGCACAGTATCAAATAAATATCACTTTCAAGCTTTAAGTATTACAGGCATGTTATCTATGTCAGTCAACCTGTGGTATTAACTACCATTCCTTCAATTCTTTTTAAATTAAATGTCAAACCAAACTAAACTCCTTTAGTCAAGCCCCTCTTTCAAAGCGAATTCAGTGCAATTTATATTTCCTTATCTTCCTTTGAAGAAACAGGCTTCCAAGCACTCAATACCTTTTTAGTATAAAAATATTAATTGGAATGAAAGAGAAAGAGGTACTAACGTAATGTATTATTTCTTGTGCAAAAGAAAAACATATTTAATATGAAGGAATTACCTTCTGTTTGGTATTCATGCATCTTTAAAAATTACAACACAGTATAAGCAATGGTGGAAATTTACTCCAAGTAGCAGACTAGTACCTTTTAAACACACAATCTTGAGCCGCCTTTGGCCACATGTTTTTTTTTTTTTTAGTTCAGTCTCTTAAAGAGACAGTAGCCTTTGGTCCAATGTCCATATATGGAACACATTTCTTAAATGTTTGATTTCTACAAATCTTCCCTGAAATTACTTCAAACCCATTCTAGTCCGAGGGTGTGCTATTTGATCATACTGTGATATCAAACTAATTTCATTTGAATCTACAAATGACTAGGGGGCAGGCAGTGACAAGATAATCTAGGAAAATACTATGATTATAAGTATCTAAAATACATGAAAACTACACATTTCTTAGAACATCAAAATATTTTGCTTTTTAAATCTTCAAAATGATCGCTGTTTCTTCATTCATTTTTATAGCCACTTACTAGCCTAGGAAACCGATTACACTGTAATCCATAATACCGGAAGCTACAAGAACACAATTTCGCTATTGAATGAAAAGGAGGAAATGCTAGTAACATCAGCCTGGGTCCGAATACTGAAATATCAAAGATTTCGTTTTCTATCTAGGAAAACATAACCTAGAAGGGGCACATACACATGCCTTGAAAACCGATTACCACGTGATATAAAGGACGATTTTATCTTTCGATTTACTTAATAGCATATTATAGTATGCCTATTAACATAACTACAGATCAGCTCATCAAAAAAGGGAAAAGGGGGAAGACAGAAAAAAGTTTGGCTTACTTGGTGTACAAACACATCCACTGGAATATCCAAGGGGCTCCCCTCTCGGCTTATCATGGAGATGAATCCAAATCCCATACGCACATTGAACCACTTACAGTGGCCAGTTCCGTGCAAAACCTGGGATTCCTCCTCTGCCTGCTCCGGCAGCTTCCCGGATTCTTCTCCACCTCTGCTTGCCCCGCCTGAGATGGAACAGGACAAAAAAAGTCAGTTAATGTATACTTTCATACGGTGTTCACCGAGAGAGCGAAGAAAATTGCTTGGGGAGGGGTGGAAGAGAAGATAATTTAAAAAATAGTGAACAGTCTGATTGCTTCTTTTCTTCTAAAGAAAAATTTAAAATGAAAGCAGGGGAGGCGAAGCCACACTCTTCTATCAATCACACCAACTTCCACCTTTCTGTACATATGTATACTTTTCACTTAACTCCATTTTTCAGGCATGCATTATAGTACAGCTTCCAATATTTTACTTCCATACTGCTTATTTAACACTGATCCCATTTACAAAGAGAAATTTTCAGCGAAACTTTCCTTTGGCGGGCAGGAGGAGAAAAGAAATGGTGAAGATAGTTAGAACTAACAGTTAATGCACACGCGGCAGCACGAATCTGGGGTTATTTCCAATATGCATTCCCCTCCCCCCATAACTTTCAATTAAAGTTGGGGTAGGATGGGGGAGGGGGCAGGTGTATTAAAGTTTTCTCGGCCTCACTAACTGAAACTGCGCTTAATCACGCTCACGCAATTCAAACAATAGCCCCCTGAAAGCTTTTCAAGTTGTGAATCAGTGTGGGCGGTACAAAACATTTTGGAAATCTGTAACAATAGGTTTGCATAAAGCCCCACTGCGCAACGGGAGGTAAGGAGGTAAGGCTCAGTAGTGGGGTAAGGGGGGTAGGGAGTTGGGCAAGGAAGGATGATAAAAGGGTTGGGGGGGGAAGAAAGAAAATCGTAGTAAAACAATAGAAAAGAAAATTAACCTTCGGCCATGTTGCCCCACGGGCCCTCTGCTCCGAACTCGTGAGATGAAAACTTTCCCTTTGGAACGGACTGTTCTTCTGCATCAATCTAACATCTTGATTTTGTGCGATCACAAATTTAGCTCGCATGGTCTAATGTGCTTTCCTTCTTTTGATTTTTTTTTTCTTCTCTCTCGAGTTTCTGGCCCCCTGAGCACACGTGACTTTGTCAATTACATGCTTTCTTGCTACTAATTTCACCTCGGACCCTTAAGGGGCTGGCAAGAGGAAGAGATAACCAATCGCCATTTCATCTTTGCTGACATCAAAAAAATTTATGAATGAACACCAAAAATTCAAACATGTTCAAGACAACTTGAGATGCTTCTTTACAATAAATCAGAACGCTGGTTTCATCCTTCTATTAAAGCACAATGGAAGGTTCCTTGTAAATCGTCGATTTAGAAAAACAACAGTCATATATGTGCACACGTGTGCCCAACACACAAGCCAGTCTAAGCAATCTTATGCACAGAGGCATTTAAATAAAGCAACATCGTGTTATTATTTTTTTTCCTTAAGAATTCAGCTACTCTGTATCATTAAACCTGCCAGGGACACTAGTTTCATATTTAATTTAAGGAAAATATATAATTAATAAAATATCAAATTAATCCTAATTACATACCCTTTATTAAAACTTTAGGTGTTAACCTACACTACAAAAAAAGGTAGAAGTACAAAATTATCTAATTGTAACGTCAATAGATTTTCCAAATTTAAAATAAAATTGTACCAGAAAAATTATCAGCATTTTAAGTTTGTTTAGATTTATCATTTGAGAACATTTTAAAGGGGGCTGGTAAGGAATAGCACTTCACAGGTTTCTCCACCATCTCTTTCCGGGGGAGGAGACGTGATTAATGACTTCCTAAATAACAGCCCAGTTTTGCAGCCTAACAGAGTGAACCTCAATCAGCCGCGATTGTTCCCCAAGAGCGAGAGGACTTGGGCAGAGGGGGAGGGGAGCGCCAGGGAGCGGAGGCGCAGAGGAGGCATCCGGAGAGGCGGCTGCTTAGCCCTAAGAGCGGGACCGGTGCAGGCCCGGATAGAGTGAATAAAGAGGGGTACATATGACAAAAAGGTAAATTCGTATATTGACTGTATCCTAGTATTTTAAATGTCCACTACCAACTGGTAGAAAAGTGGAATGAACGAAAACTTAACAACGGAATTGACTCTTTCCGTCCTTTTCCCATTGCCCCCACCTCCGTTTCAAAATGCTTACTTTCCACCTTTCAAATCAGCTCAAAAGATTGAGATGCTGATTACTTTACCCCCTTATTGAACACCATACATTATAGATTAACTAGAAATGCTTCACTTGCTGTAAAATATAAAATGCCACCCCTGTTAACATTAAAAGGCACCCATCAATCTTTACCCCACCCCCATCCCGCCCCCATTTTCTTAGACAAGCAGTTTACGGAAAAACTACAGATAGCACTTCCCTTCCGCAAAGTTGCAGTGCCGACCATCCCCCACCGTGTTGCAACCCCCTCCCCCATCGTGCTGCAACCCCCTCCCCATCTCCAAACAAATCCACATTTTAAGTGTTTCACACTAACTAAAACGTTGTGATTCGGAATGAAAAACCTACTGAAAAAGACACATATATGCTTATTAACGCCTCTTTCTCATGACAAACAACTAAAAAAAATTAGTTCAGATTTAAGTTTAAATGGATGTATGTAAAAAGAGAAAACTGAAGTTAATTTTCAGCTGTTCGTGATAAAAGGTGTCAATTAAAACCAATCAATTTGGAAAGATTTTTTTTTTCACCTATTTATTTCTTTGTTGTTTCTCAAGAAAAAGAGCGGGCTTTCTGGTTTTATTTATTTTGAGGGTAGCAAATAGGGTACTAGCTGGTAAAGAAGAAACAAAGTGTAAAATGCTAAATGATTTTGCAAGTATAACAGAAGCTCCATAACCTGAAAACATTACTTACTAACAAAATATTTATCAGCCATAATTTCATAATAGAAATATGACCATTACCATGACTACCATTACTATGATACTTACTTTACGCTTACAAGGAAGTAGCTTTAACAATGACATTAGAAGTATATTACATGTAATTCAAAATACTTTATCATATTTTAAAGAATTACCTGTAAAAAATAGGCATATCAAAAAATCTGAAAAAAAACAGTAAAAAACTCACAGACCAATATGGTTTGGTTTGCTAAACATTTACAGTAAAAAACATTTTTAATGTACTAGTTTGTTTTGAATTAAAGAAGTTTATTCATAAAATTAGGAACACAATAACTGCATTCTAAATCTTCATTGTTAAATCTGACAAAATTGAAACTCAATATGTATATGATGTGTGGAATAGCATAGCTGAACCAGATGAAGGGCAGTGTTGTGAGATTCACAGCAGTGTCTGATGGGGTTCCCAGTATTAGAGGAATTAAGGTAGGGTTCACTGGACTGGTCACTGGTGTCAGAGGTTATCGACTCATTCATTTCCTGAGAAGGACATCAGCCTTTCAAGTAGTGTAGAGGGTTTTTTCTTACTGGGAACCCTGAGAAATCTCTAAAATTCATTCACAAAGAAATTAAGGCAATTACATTTAAATGCCTTGGGTGGAATAAACAAAAAGGGAGACCAAAAGCAAGGAAAGGTGAGAGGGGAGGGAAACTGGAAAGAGAAGCAAAGGAGGCAGGCTGTTACCAATTGAAGTAACTCCACTGTCTTTTAAAATAGATTTGTCTTTTCTGCCTCCCCTCCAAATCTTCAGATCCTAAGATCCTTTTATAAACTGACCATAAGCTCTTAAAGCTCATACAGTGGTTCTTGCACATAAAATGGTCCTATGAGTCTCCTACAATGCTTCCAATTTGTCACCTTACTGAGAGGTCTTCTGGTTTTAATTTTTTTCTCATTTCCTACTTGATTTTAGTCCCAGAAAGATCTGTGTTTGAATCAAAACGCATGTTTTATTATCATAGTTCTACAAAATATCTTTAAAATGACTCCGAGTAGCTATAAAGACTCATCAAAGTGGGGATTAGGAAATCAAAGAAATAATCTATCTTGTATGTTGGCTGTCACAATCTTAGGTTTCCTCATTTTAAAAAAAGCAGGTACACAATTTCTCACCACCAAACCCTCAAAGCAACTTGCTGAGAGGTGCCGGAGCCCACCCTCGTGGTTTTCAACTATAGGCAACGCATGACTTCCATTAAAGAACAATGAGTTCCTCGGTTCTTAAAACTAAAAGGAGGGGCTGTGACACTGCTGAGTGTGATTCCACTGTTCTGCGTCCTCCTCCTCACTGCAAATAAACCAGGTCCAAGCCCAGCACAATCCTAGCTGCTGGAGCCCCAGGGGCCAGCAAATCTGCCCTTTTCTTTCCACCCCGCCCCGCAATGTCCTCTCACCTTTCCCTTTTCAGTTTTCAGTCACCCTCCCTTTTATCCATCACATCAACACCTCTCCAGAAGTCGAGCCACTCAAAGGCTAGCAAAGTCTCACTAATTAGAGGACTTTTACGCGTGTGATGTATTCCCCAAGAACAAAAAGAAACCCTCGCCTTTTACCACTAAAGCAAAAGCCCGGGGCTCAATCTAGTATTTTTACTTAATTTCCATACACACGTTATTTGTAATTTGATCTCTTTATCAGTGAGACACCAGAACCTTCTAAATGTAAGATAAGTGAGGTCAAGGGCCGAGAGAGAATCAGGAGAACCCAGGAAAACTACTGCCCCCACCCCCACCAGGCCATGCCTAAAATGGAGCTGTCTTCAAACAAACCCCGGCGCCGTCCTATCGCCCTATCGCTTAGTCACGAAAACAGCGCCAGTGCCCCAGGAGGGGCGGAGAGGGCGGGTGGCAGGATGGGTGCCCAAGAGCCCGCCGGTGGGGGTACACACTCGACCTAGCGCGATCTTTCCCGCTTAACCGCCGCCGGCCGCACGTCGGGGAAACGTGCCCAGGTTCCACACAGTGAGCTTCAGTAAACTACTTAGCAAAAACTTCCTTCATCAAACATGGACTCAAAGGGCAGGAGCACGCGACTGGGTGTGTTGGTCTTAGAAGGGTCAGCAAAGTATGGGGGCGCTTTGTTTTTGTTTCCAAATTAAAAATTCTGTTCCCATCCTATTTTCTTATCTGGAGAAAAAACTGCTCTGGCTTTCACACAATTGTTCTCTTGAAAGAACTAAAACTTTCTTAAAAATCTTCTGAACACATTTCTTCAGGAATATGAAATAAAACTGGGAATTTTGTGGAACAAATTAAAAATTTCCGTTTTCCACTCAAATTGCCTTTATATTTCAAAAACAAGCATTTGCAAATTTTGAGTCAGCTACATTTCAGCAAAGCATTTAGAGAAGCGAAATTCACACAAAATAGGCATTTTAAGACCATCATTTTGTAGAAAATACCTCTTAAAAAATTGTAATAACAAAAACTACCAATGTATTAACATTTTCTCCCAATTAAAAACAAAAATTGTATAATTTCTCC